TGGAGTTGAATAAACATATGCATATCATAATGTGTTGAAAAAAAGCACTTCATTGTGCCTTTTCTTGAGTTGTTGTTTCAAGATTTGAAATGTTTGGTTGGTCATAGTGTAAGTTATATTCTACTTGTAACTTGTAATAAAGGACAAGCTTGTGTCTTGTTGAATGTTGGCTTTTGTGTTGAGAAGTAATTACTACTTTTTTCATGAGCATCATCATCTGTCCCTTTTTACTTGTTCAATTTTGACTTTTTATTTGTATCTTTTTACTTATTATTTTTGACAAATCAAGAAAAAACAATTTTTTTTTTATCTATTATAACCTCAATTTATTTGGAGAGTTAATGTTTTTAAAAAAAGTTAGAATCTCTTCAATAAGTAAATTGATTTTGGAAGTTTATCAATTAATAGGGGTAAAATGGTAAATTCACTATGTCATTTATTATTTTGTTAATAGGCGTGTCATGTAAAAATTGGACAAGTAAATAGGGAGCAGATGTAGTAGAAGTACTATGACGTGTGAAGAGTGTAGACCGTAATGTAGAATACTGATATAATATCTAGTAATGTTAAATGATTAATATTTAATATCTATGAAGAGTATAGTAGTAAATTACTATCATCTTAATGGTTATCGGTTTAAAAAAAATAAAAAGTCTAGCTTGACAGTGTAGTTGGCATACATTTCAAACCCCTACCATTTTTCCGTTTTAATTAAAAGCTTGTGAAAGGGACTTTGATATTTTTTTTAAGTAAAATAATAAACCTTAAAGAATATACACATTGTTTCTTTGTACAACTCAAAGATATTGATATGAACGTGTAATCTAAAGTAATTTGTAAATACTTGTATTTCTATATTATATGTTATAAGTTTTATTCTTCGTTTTATGTGGTTTTTTAGTAGTTAAGATTTTCATTATTTGTACAGGTGAAACTAGTAGTAACTTTTTTACAATTTATATATAACTCAAAAAATTATTTTTGTCCTATTTTCGTGTATGAGCCGAGCTAGAAGATGTAAGGAGATAATTTGAATCTTGTTTGTTAAAAAATTACATTATATATGATCAAAATTATATTTTATATATATCTAAAATCAAATATTGAATCTTCTTGAACTCTTAGTATATTTATTTATTGATATTTTGATTATTCTCTTTAAAAAACAAACAATAAAACATGACCCCATCGCTATCAAATGTTGTGGTACTATCTCCGATCATTTTTATTTGTCATGTTGCGCTTTTCAAAAGTCAATTTGACTAATTTTCAAAATTAAATTAAATTACATTAATTCGACATTTTAAACAAAAGATTTAAATATTCAAAAACTATACAAAAAGTACTTTAAATTGCAATTTCTTGCATATCAATATGATGAAAATATATATCGTAAAATGTTAGTCAAAGTTCTTATAGTTTAACTCTAAAAAAGAAAACCATGACAATTAAAAATGGATCGAGGGAGTATAATATAATTTTTCTACTATGGGAATTCAGTTACATCTCCTTTCCACGTACTCGATAAATTTGGAAATTCACAAGTATGGTTAGTAGTCTCCATAGTGAGAAATCGTGTGGACGTTATTGCAAGTTTTGTATATTTATGGAGGTCTCAATTTGAGAAGAATCTTGATATTTCGAATTGTTGAAATGCTTGAAAATAGATGGCATTTGGCCACAGTAAATAGTAATTCTCTTTTTTTTTTCTTTTTCTTTTTAATAATTTAAAATATTTTAAGAACATACTATTTAAAATCAGATAATTTTTTATTTGATTCTTAAAATTTAAACGATATTATATAAATTGAGATAAAAAAATTTATAGTAACAATTAACAGATAAATTGGAATAAATAAAGCATCAAATTTGGCGAAGATTTTCCAAGATAAAAGAGGAGCAGAAAATAAATGGAATACTCTATTAAATTGGCAAAGATTTCGAAGAGAAAAAAAGGAACACAAGAACGTATAGGAGCCTCTATTTTTTGAACTTACTATCCATTTGTAATCAGATATTTCAAATTTGAATTTTGATATAAAAAACACTATTATCCACTTTTAATTAAATATTTCAAATATGAGTTTAAATTTAAGAAAAACTATTATTAATCGCATTTTCTTCAGAAATAAAACCTATCATAATGCAGAATGCTGTACCAAATAAATATAATTTTGGTAATAGACCACGTGACGAAAGCTATGACCTATAAATCTTAGGCCGCCCAGAAAAGTCTCGAATATTAATGAAAAAATTAACTTTGCAAAAATCAAGTGTGTGAACATTCCAATGGAGCACTATATATACTACGTATACGTATAGTCAAGTGAAGGGTCAAAACGACCTTGGAAAGAACCAAAGGAGAATGTACTTAATAAAGAGATTCAGAGGCGTAGTAAATGTCAATAGACAAATTACTTCCTACGAGTTTGATTTTGTAACATTTCTTCTTGAAAATTAGTCTCATATATTCTAAAAGTTATGTCCTTTGTGGACTCATTCTCTTTGAGAGTTGGTTGATCTTCCTCCAGGAAATAAACTTTTCGGTTCAAAGTGGATCTACAAAAGGAAAAGAAAGTTGATAAAACTATAGACAAATACAAAGACAGACTTGTTGTCA